GTTTGTGCATACCAAGTCATAGCCATCAAGGTCAAAATCCATTCCCCTCACATCATTAATTCATGTTTCAGAAATAGCAATTATAATTTGTCAGATCAATGTGGAATAAAGATTTTGGACTTGATGTTTTTTATTCTTCACCCATGGATTGTCAGATAAAAAATAGGAAGTACTTTTATTTCACTTCCTGCCTTGGGTTGTTCCCACTAAATGCACATCAGTATCAGTCACCAGCTCATGAGAAAGATGGCGTTTGCTCATGTATTATGTGATGGTTAAGCATGTTAGTATTGGCTTGCCTCTGTTTTAGCATGGGGGCAGGCAGGGGTAGCTTTTGCATATGCTAAACACTCTGAGGTGCAGCCACTGCTGGCACCAAAATAAAATATAACCATCAACCTAGAGTATTGAAATTCAATAGGGAAATCACTATAATATTGATTAGCTGCCTGATGCACGAGGGATGCTATAATTAACATAGTGTTTTTTCAAAACCATTCAAGCAGCTGCTGCATGTATGAATGTATGATTTTTGCTGATGATCTATTTCTGCTCCATGCAAATCTAGATGCTTTGGTAATCCTGCTTCCTGGCTGTGCAGCTGCAGATGCTTTATCTGAACTCAGGACATCAGCCCTCCTCTGATGTCCTTACACCAGTCTTTATAAACAGTAACAATAAAAGTTTGTCCATCCTTCAGCTCACCTCACTGCGTTTCAGTACACAGTGAGGAACCGTGTGGCATGTTGGTGGAGACTGACTGTAACATGTAGTTGCAAAGATGAGCCCTCTCTGGCAGTTGTCGAAACAACTGTCACGGTATCTGTAGGACTGCTTCAGATAGTTCAGAGTTTAGGTTTGTGTACAGTAGGTGCATGAGATTAAACTACAGTTTTAGACAAAACCTTCATTTCAGCGCAGAGTGAAATTCTGCCTCTGTTGTATTCATCCTGAACCTATTGCAAAAACAAGTGACTTTTATACATATGGTAATGGTAAAATTAAAAATAAATAACTGTTAGTATTCAGTTTACACTAGAGTATATGGCTGATATTTTTTTCCTCGGTGAGTGTTACTAGCAAGCAGTGTTGGAAGATGTTTTCAGATTTTTTTGGTTTAGTAAAAGTAACAATAGCACAAGGTAAACATACTCCGTTACAAGTTCTGCACATCATCTTTACTTAAGTAAAAGCAGGTAAGTTTTATCACTAAAATGTCACTGGAATATGTAATAAGTACTAAGTAATGCAGAAAAATGATTCCTGGCAATTTACTACTATATATTAATTTTATGGATTATTATTGCTGGTGCATTGATGTGCATGCTCCATTTAACTGCTGTAATTGTTTAAGGTTGTGTTAAATTTAATATCTATACTGGTGGGTATCACATTTTATAAAGAAAAGTGTGAACCCTATCCACGGGCAGTGGACCTTTCTTTGTACTGAAAAAAAAACAGTTTAGTTTCACGTGTTTACTAAATTTTATTTCAGTGTGAAACTACATACTGTTCATTAAAGTCCTGTTTTTAACATACCTGGTTTCTAACCATCCAGCATGTTCAAGAGGCAGACTGAGAAAAAGAAAATGCAGACCATACATTATACTGACCATGCACATGTGTTAAGGCAGGGGAACATGGGGATGCTTTAATGCAGACAAATAGTTCTGCAGAAAATTATGGCCATCATTGTTCCTCTCAGTCCTATTATCCAGCCACGTAATCTTTGTGCTGGTCCCTTGTTCTTTCTGTAATGTTCTACAGTTCAATGAGACACAGGTTCTTACCTGTGTCTATCATGGCCCTAATCTTTTCTATCTGTAATTGCAGTTAATAGCTAAACTGCATCACTGAGGCTAATTTCAGGATGTGTGCATGTTCCTTTTGACCAAATCAACACTACATTTCTCTGACTGTAACCACTCTCCCATTACTAGCTTAGATCGACCCAGTTAATAAACCAGTCCATTAGATCAGGTGAACCCGTCCGTGTTTAAGCTCTGAGCTACAGTGTGTGCTGATGTCATGATCAGATGTATCGATGCCTGTACAGATTTGCTGTGAAAGCAAGTCAACAAAAGGATAAGGAACATTTGACATACTACAGAAACATGTTTACTATTTTCATAAAACTATGTACCACTTACCAGGGATTTAACCATCTGTTCAAGTGCCCTTTAAGACCTGTCCAATTCCACTGACTTGAGTGAGGAAAACAGTAAGATCCATTATCCGTCTTTGTATGCATCATTTCCTCAACTGGACCACAAAACATACATATTCTGCATTCTCCATCTACTTTTAAGATTGATAATCCTTAACTGAGCAGACTGTTGCTAAACCTGAGAAGTGTTGCTCATTTAAATGTTCCCAAAAGTATTAATAGGTGCAATAAATACTTGATCCATTACCATAGCAAATGAGTGCAGTCAAATATCTGGGACATCCTGGAGGACATAGAACTCAGATGTAACCCAGATACTACAGCAAGTTAAGACTCTGGACAATATGCTGTTTATTCCCAACAAAAAACATTTTTATTTTTTTTTATCATGTGTATGAGTTTATGCTGTCTTGGTAGCCCTGGTACGCTTCTTCTTGACCACAACAGGCTTCTGGCTCTTCAGAATGGCACTGGCACGACGCAGGGCAGCCTTTGGGGGGGATCAGATTCACCTTATGTTTAGGAAAGCTTTGAAATCAAAGTATCATTCAAACCAAGATGGTAGCTAACTGAGATTTTTGCCATGTAACAAAACAGATTAAGCTGACCATGCGGAGGTCCTTCCTGTAGTTGTTCTTGCGAATGATGTGCCTTAGGCTATTGAGGGTGGCGCGGGAGTTCTTGTTGATGGTGATCTTCTCATACGAGTTGACAGGTTTGTGCTGGCCTGTACAACAAAAGAACAAAATTAGCAATCCAGTGTAATTTTAATCACACTACCTGTAATGATCCAAAAACTAACTCGGACCACAAAGCTCATGTGACGATCTACATATTAGAGCAGGTCTACACATATGAAGGTGCAGTCCACATCAGCACCAAATCTCATAAGCATCATGTTACGTGTCTTTACAGTTCAGTTCATATTCCAGAAATAAGTAAGCACGGAGAGAAACCTGTTAAAAAGTCATATGAATTCATGGCTGTGACCACAAACTCAAACTGCCACTTTGATTTCTACCACTTAGAGCAAAATCAACTCTGAATCACTAGGAAGGAAACAGATTGACCCAAGAAAGCATTGGTACCTAACCAAAACAGTGGCTGCTGTCCCATAATATGTCACCAGTGTATGATAAGATTTCAACAATTAGGTTAAATTTTTCCTTTATGAAAAAGGACTAAGCAGTAGCACAGTACATTTAGACAGCATTTTCATTCAAATTATCCAAAGACCGTTAACATTCTACTCAACAAGTTGCTGGTTTTACAGATACAAGAAGTGTTTACCTGCACGTTTCTTCAGCACGACGACGATGCCCTTGCCATCGGCCGCTGGCTGCACACCTACAGTTTTCTTGTGTACCAAACCATTGAAGCGGAAAGAGTTCCTGGACTTCAGGTTGTTGGGCTCCTGTCACATAAATGAATGAAACCAAGGTAACCCCACTGAGCACCTAATATTGTAATAGCTGGATTCTATTTGGCCGTGCTGGCATGCCACTTATTATGTAGTGTAGTTAAAAGGAGAGAAGTCCACTCCACCCGGCACCGTGCCAGTCAGGTTTTGGACCCTATTCAATAGTAACTTGAAACACAGACAATTATGTATTTCTTCACCGAGATTAGTCTTATAATATTCTATTAGCTGCATGGGTGAGTACTATGCTCTTGCCATGTCTAGTTAATGCTGTGTCCCAAAACAATATTAATGTGTTACTGTTTTCAGAAGAGCCTAACTTGATAATGAAGTCATTAGCTGCAGCTCTTGTTGCATTGCTGTTTCAAAGTATAGTGCAGATAAACAGTATAGTCAGAAGTAGGACTTTTTGTAGAATACAACTTTGTAGAAATAAAGCATTTTGGACTTTCCCCATGTGATACTACAAATTCAAAACCTGCTTAGAATTAGCATGTAACTTAGTATAACGTCAACGTGTCTAATCAGGTGGTCTGAGTTACTCACAGTACTGTAGGTTTGTCCGTTCCTCTTGATGAGGAAACTGGAGCAGTTCCTGATGACCATCCACTGCAAATGGGACGACATGATGAACCTGGACAAAACAGGGACACGTTACTGTAATAATTGTAAACCCATACAACTGACAGGGGTCATCTGCTACGATTATCTTGGAAGTTAGCCTTAACTAGCTAGCGTTAAACGTGATCGCTTAACGTTAGATTTACATTTTTTTGATTAGCCACCAGTGAGTGGGGGGAAATTAAGCGTCAAAGTTATACATGTTACAGTTTTGATTTAGTTTTTCACATATACGTAGAAAACACGTGTTGTTAAATTGAGACAAATTTTGCTAATGTTAGCTTCATAGCTCAAGGATGAGGCCTAACCAGAGCGAAGCGCTCACTTTTTTCTTTCAATTTATACACTGCACAGGAACATTTACTGTCATGCGCAATGTATAACAATGCACACAACAATAAAATCTTTATTCTCAGTCTAAATGAACACAGATAGAGGAAACAAATCTACTTTAAAAACCGGGTATTTGCTACCAGACTGACCACGTTACCTTCGAGCGGAGGAAAAGGACCAGAAAGAGCGGAAACCGCTTTACGGAACCTCTGTCTGATATCATTGCGCACCTACAGCTACATACTTGTACAACATTAATAATTGAACCCCAGTTTTTACAAATGTGTAACACATGCATAATATACTCAGCATCTTTATCCTAGAACCTTCTATGAATTTCGACGCTATACCAAATTTTGACTGTCATTTTAAGCAGTACTAGCTATCCGCAAGCACAGCGGAGGAATACAACCTTATCACGTTGGCGAAGCCTGACGTCATTACTATGCGCCTCCTGTTTACAGATAGCTGTCAAAATTTCAGCAGCTAGTTGTCAGCTGTTTTAACCATAACTATATGAGTAGTATTTTGATTATTACATGAGTACACGTGAAGTGCAAATACATAGTAAATAACACAATAAGTAGTGTCAGGAAAACCTGCTTTGTTGGACGTCAACTTTATTTGGTGGATGAATCCTGACGTGAATGGAAGATGTGAACCAAAGGTTGTCAGAGGTAAAAGTCCTCTGGAACACGGCTCATTTCAAAGTTACAATGTGGTGTAACATGAGAGATGTTAGTAGCGGCTTAATGTGAGAAGTCAAATATGGATGAAGACGATCTGGAGACATTTGGTGAGCAGCTGTACCATCGGATTTACCCCAAACACAAAGAGATTGCTGGAAAACTCACAGGTGCGGTGATCTGCGTTGTAACATTATAAACGGGGGAAAAATCAGAATCAGTCGTATTGTTACTATAAGCACAATTTATATAGCAGTAGCTTTGAAAATACGACACAAACCAAAGTTTCCGAGACTGCCTCTGTGTTCAGGTATGCTGCTGGAGCTGCCAGGCCCTGTCCTGAGTCAGATGTTGCAGGATGAGGCGATGCTGACTGCAGCAGTGGAGAAAGCCCTCAAAGCCCTGCAGCTTTCACAGGAGCCCAGGTGCAGCAATGGTCTACCTCTACCATCTTAAACAGGCTGGGCTTTTAAAAAAAATCGTCTGAAAAAGTTTGTAACATTCTCACATCATTTGCAGCAAGGTAACATGTAAAGATGAGGGTGATGTGTCCATGTCATCTGAATCTCTGGGAGAGCAGCTGTTTGAGCTGGTGGATGTTTACAACACTGGACACTCACAGAAAATCACAGGTAAGCAACCAGCTCTGTTTTTTGATCGGTATCATCAAAAGGTTGAAACTGAAACTTCATAGGTTCTTTATGACCAAAAACCCTGCAAACCTATGACACTGACATCAACTGAAACTTTACTTTGTTTGCTGCTAATTGACAAATGTTAGAATGCAAACGTGCAAAACTAAGATAAACACAATAAACATTATACCTGCTAAAAATCAGCATGTTAGTATTGCATTTGTGACCATACTACTATTAGGATTTAGCTCAAAGCACTATGCCTAAGTGCAACCTTACAGAGGTGCCAACATGGCTGTAGCCTTTTAGTCTTGTTATAATTCATATGCAAATTAATTTATGAGCAACTAATGTGTAGTGCATTAAAATCTAATTCCCTGTCTCTCCACAGGAATGCTCCTGGAGCAGCACAAAGAGGCAGTGTTAACCCTTCTTTCAGATCCAAAACTGCTGGAACAGCATGTGAACCTTGCCCTGAAGACACTAAAAGAGTATATGACTTATTTGTTTGTAAGATACACTCATATTTGCATACGATAGCCTAGTTACACATTTATGTCAATTTCCCTTTTCTTCTCAAACAGCATATAATTTCTAGTCCAATGGCCTTAGAGGCCATTTGCGACTCAAATATACATCATGGAAGATTCAATCAGTACTAGTATTAATGAATTAATTACTGTTAAACAAGCTGTTTATAGTAATATATCTCCTGCTTCCCTTCAGGCAGAAATTGGAAGAGACAGATGTCAGTGACTCATCGGACGCTGACGACACAGAGAGGCTGGGAGAGAAGCTCTTCTCACTGGTGGAGGAGATGGATCCACTTCATGCAAACGATATTACAGGTGACCTGATACCTTTGGCATTCCCTGTAAAAATAACTGATCTTCCTAGGTATGATATTTTTGAGCATTTATAACAGGCCTTGTAAGCTGAGGATAAAGACTCTATCTACATAACTCATAAGCATAACTAATGATATTATGTTTGTATTCTTGCATCTGTCTGTCTGGGCAGGTATGCTACTGGAGATGGACCCAGCAGCTCTCAAACAGCTGCTCAGTGACCACACGATGCTGGACATTGCTGTTCAAAAAGCACAGGCAGCACTGGACACTTGAACTCTCGCTGCTTGAACAGAACACGACAACAAAGATTTCCACACAAAATAACTCATTAATTCATGAGTTTGATGGACTCAGATAGTAGAGTGCTGGGAAGAGCCAACACCTCAGTCCAGGAGATCATGTTAATACCAGTTACCTTTTAAATAAGCACCTGTCATTGATCATTGAGTGAACTATGGGGAGTCTGACTGGAATGCCTGTAAATAACTGAGGAATCTGGGAAGCCTCTTTCTCACTGAAATGAAATTGACAGAGCCCCTTTAAAATATGGGTGCTCACTTTGCTCATACATGATTGTCTTTATGTTGTTCAGTATTTATCAATGTTGCAACAACTGGGAGCCAAACCTACATAAGTTGTTGCTTGATGAAAATACTGTATGCTGGCTGTAAGGTAAGATTCACTTGTAGAACTCTTAAGTGTTATTAATAAATTTATCTGTCACCATCACTCATATTACAGCTGATGAAGGACGTTTTGTTTTTGTCACTGTATTCATACAGTCATGAATAATAAAACCTAGCCACGCTGATGACAAGGTTCTATGGATGGAAATGTCCAGATTAAAATATCATGAGAACTATTGGACAGGTTGCCATGACAGTTTGTTCTTTGTGTGGATGCCAGCATAGCAAACATCTTTATTGGGTCCTGCCCCGTTCCCACAACCACATTTGTTAGTGTTAATTAGCAAATGATAGTATGCTAATATGCTAAACTAAGATAAATATACCTGCTAAACATCAGCATGTTGAGCTAAAAAGCAGTGCTGTGCCTTAGTCTTATTTAAACTAAATGTGATTGAGTTTAATCAAAAAGTAAATAAATAACAAAAAATATAATACCTGGCTCCAGGAAATAATGCAGCTAGAAGAAAATCAGTAAAATTGCTAAATAAAATTGAACATTTCTTTTATATATAGACTAAACTGGCCCCAGGAGTGAGTGTGAGTGTGTGTGTGGTTGTTTGTCAGCCCTGTGACAGACCGGCGACCTGCACCATCTCTTCCAACCAAAACAAAAGTGAAGCTTAGCTTCTAATCAGAGAGAAGAGTAAACTAAATAATTAAAATTACAAAAATTTATCAAAAAGAATAAACACAATTTACAATATATATTCTACCTTTGAGTATTTTTTTCATTTGTGGTTGTCAATGCAATTGTAAAAGTATTTGTCATCTTCCTTCTTGTGCTCAAAAGTCACAGAAAGAATGTTTTTAACCCTCATGTGATCCTTTAAAAAATCCATCCAAATCCCTCCCTCTGAACAAATTATTGTGACTCAATTCTCATGAATTTGATTTAAAAAAAAAAACAAAGAGTGTGACCTTCTAAGAGAAAATAGTTATGAATTTGGACACACACACAGACCTATTTGGTTCATTTTATGCCGTTAGAACAGCAAACACAAACGTAAAGTGGCACAAACACACAGAGGCGCACACTGGATCAATATAACACCAAAACTGATATGCACTTTATCAAATCCATTCATTATTAGCAAGTCACCCTTGCAAAAAACAGTGGAAAACGTGCGTTTTGCTTTCGTTTTGGCTGCGGGCTTCGAAAATGGAATCATGTCACCATCTGATGGACAACTATCAGAATTACAAGTTGGGACCAAGTCCTTCAAAATGCATCAGGAACACTGCATTGCTTTATATATAAAATAAATATGGCATCAAAAATAGCATTTTAATGGGTTTTAATGGGACATAATTTGTTCAGAGCTAGGGATTTGGATGGAACTTTTATTCTTAGCCATTTTAGGCCAATTTAAGGAAGCGAGACCTCAATTTTAAATAAAAAAAAAAATCTTTTGGCAAGTTTGAGCTACATTCATTCAACACAGCCAAATTGGCTTGAAAATAAAAACGTAAAAGGACAAAAATGTACTTAGGGCCATTTCCATCTGGCATTCTCTGTTTAGCACACACAACTCTATCAATTTAGATATCACTGTTAATGGCACTTCTATCTTTGATAAAAGATTCAACAACATCTTTATAAGAAACTCCCTCATTCCAAGAACAACAGCTGTTATAAACAGCTGTTAAACATAAATGGACACACCAGACTCTTGATGGAAGAACATGGAACACTGTTTTTACTTTGCCCTGCAAATTTGTCTTGTCCAACAAAGCTAAAGAACTTTCCTTTAAAATCTTACATACATTTTACCCATTAAACTCTATTATTTGTAAATACATTCCAAACATAAAAGAAAAATGCTCCTTTTGCAACAATGAGGTAGAAACTTTAGAGCATCTTTTTTTTCAGTCTGCACATGTGACAGTATTTTGGACTGACTTTTGTTTTGATCTCAAAAATTATCTTGGTAAAGAAATTGTACTTAAAGAATATGATATATTATAAATTTTTGACAAGCCCCATTACTCTAGCAATGAAAAATTAGTTATTAATCTGTTCATTATTTTGGCCATATTCTTCATCCATAAAATGAAATTAATGAAAAAATCCCCATCCTTTTAAACAATCTGATCTTAACAATTATTTCCAAACAGTCACAATTAAACCACCCTAACAAAAAACGAACCAAAACCACTGACCTCCTCAAATGTTTTAATTTTATATCAGAGCCTTACATCTGCATTCTCTTCTCTTTGTTCTCGTTTGGTTCTGTTATATGTTTTCACTTTGTTATATTATGCCTACTTTTGTCCTCTTAACGCACACTGTTATACATTTGTTGCAACAATTTGTGCTGAAAAATCTTGTATTGATTTGCATTGTTGTTTAATAAAAACACACACACAAAAAAAGGTTTGACTCCAGTTCATAATCACCACTCATTGTTTCCACCTGTTTGGACTGCTCAACTTTGGACTTGCCTGTGGTTTGGTTCTTCAGGTTTGTCTTAGTTGTGTTTTTGAGTTAATTTATCTTGCTCCCTGACTGATCTGTTGTGTTGTATTCCAGGGGTGACTTTGGTTCAGTGGGTAGAGCGGTTGTCTCCAAACTGGCAGGTCAAGGGTTCGATTCCCGCTGCCTGCAGTCCACATGGGCCAAGTCATTAAGTCCCCAAGTTGTCTCCTGATGGTTAGAGCCATCAGTTGAGTTGGCACCGCCTCGATTCTGTACCGGAAACAAATTCTATGTGTGTAACATACTTGGCCAGTAAAGGGTATAATCCTTAAATGGGAGACTTTTATTGAAAGAATATTTTTGGCATTACAAAGCATCTTGCGCTACCGACTGGCTTGAACAGTCACGTGATTTACTCGGGGGAACGAACTACGCGTCAAGCCTTTTTACACATCCCTTGAAGCAGTGGTTCAAGGGAAATGTTGCATCGAGTTTGAAGCTTGTATCGGAGCATCTGTGTCAGACGGACATCAATAGAATACAGCATTTCATGGGTATTTGGTGTTTACTTTTGTTTGTGTGTGCAGCCAGAGCCCACTGCCTTATTTTGTGTAAACAAGCTGAACTGCTGAACATCAGAGGGCAGGGACCCCAGTAATTGTGCCCACCAATTTACCCAGGCTACACACTTAAGAGGATGAGCTCCTAGTTTATCCTTTGTGTATTTAGTCCTAGCTTTCCATAATTCAGATATACTATAAATTAGTTCATTTGCCTGTGTTGTACCCGGGTACTTTTAACCACGTTAACTCTGAGAGACGAGGGGGTCCAAGTAACTTCAAAACAGTGCTGATTTATTCAATGAACACAGGTAAAAATTAACATTACACGCTCAGGTATCTTGCACCTCCAACATGCACGCAGGCAGCTGAAAGATGAAAGACCCCGAACCACAACAGGCCTATTCATTTTATCACCTCGGGCTAATCCCATACTACCAGGAGAGACGCCAAGCCAGCCGTCTCCCAGGGCCAGCTTTGCAGCTGCCCAGAGCAGTAGCCAAAACATGAGGAAAAATCGATGTGTGAATGTTGATTGGTGGTGTGTAGCTAAAAACATTCTAACACGACCTCTAGTGACATGTCATGACATTAAACATAAGAAAATATTATGGCTAAGGCTACAGTTATACACGTCATAATAATAATAATAAACATCCTGTTTTCTAACAGCCATCAACTTTCTATCTAGTTATCCTTGACCATAAGCATCCTGCAGCACTCATGAGAATGACTAAGCATTTAACAGCCTGAGCTAGACATCCTGTCTACACTAAACATTTCTAATACATCAAGTATCTAACCAATATCTATCTGACAAAAAATACCTAACACCTGTGTCTGCATATTTGGGTTCTTCTTGTTCCTTAGTCCTAACACATCACACTAATGGCTCTAACCATCAGGGGCAACTTGGGTGTTCAGTGTCTTGCCCAAGGACACTTCGACTGCAGGCACCAAGAGTCGAACCTCCAACCCTCCGGTTGGGAGACGACTGCTCTACCCACTGAACCACAGTCACCCTATCGCACCACACTAGCCAACTAGTAGTGGACCTAGAGATCCTGTCGATGAGAGTGACCATTTGAAAGCTGACTATGCTCCCTGATCTCAGTTCTTGGTTTGAAAGCTAACACTAGCTAGCAGCTATTCGTAGATAGCACAAACACTGAATCAAATTCTACAGCTATGAACACTAAAGTGGACGTTTGAATGTAGCTGAAGCATCAGCTGCTGTATGTAGGGCTAGTATTTAAATTATAGATGTAGGTAGTGTATATTTCTATGATGGATAATGAGCGTAATCCCACCAAAATGGCACCTAAAAATCAACATGGCGTGACAACTTCACATTCTCTAATCCCTCCACAGGTGAACAAAGAACATGGGTAAAAGTTTACTGAAGGCACCAGCATTTCAGTGGCAAAACACACTCCTCCACAGAAGACATAAAAACAAATTGAGCTCAGTTTAAAAAAAAGGCTCAAAGGAACAGTAGCAGAGGCACAGACAAGAGGAGGATAATCAGCAGTACGTAGGCAGGTAATGAGGCAGGCAGGGACAGGGACAGAAGATGGCTAGAGAACACAGCAATCAGTAAGTGACTTTGTGGCAAGTAACAGAGGGAGCAGAGTAGGTTATGTAGGCAGCCTATATGGGGGAGTGCAGTGGGTAGAGCAGTCATCTCCCAACCGGAAGGTCGAAGGTTTGAATCTCGGTGCCCACAGTCGAAGTGTCCCTGGGCAAGACACCGAAGACACTGTTGCCCCCCGATGCTTAGAGTTGGCGCTGCAGATGGCTACCTTGGTTCTGTACTGGAAACAAATTCCTTGTGTGTAACATACTTGGCCAAATAAAGGTGATTATCCTTATCCTATAAAGAGCCATAAGTGGCACCAATTACCCAGGTGCAGCAGAAATCAAAGATGAAATAAACAAGATGGTGATCTGCCTGAAAAACAGGAAGTGGTGCTGAGCATGACACCTGAGATGTACAGTGCCTTGCGAAAGTATTCAGCCCCCTTGAACTTTGCGACCTTTTGCCACATTTCAGGCTTCAAACATAAAGATATAAAACTGTAATTTTTTGTGAAGAATCAACAACAAGTGGGACACAATCATGAAGTGGAACGAAATTTATTGGATATTTCAAACGTTTTTAACAAATAAAAAAACTGAAAAATTGGGCG